GCCAGATCAATCTAATCCATCTCATCCCATCCTATCCTATCTCTCTAAGATCCATTTTAATATTGTCCACCCACATACGCCTTGGTCTTCCCAGTGGTCTCTTTCCTTCTGGCTTTCCCACCAATAACCTATATGCATTCCTCTACAATATTTTCGGCATAGTTATGTTAAATGAAACAATTTACCAATAATTTGTAAGTATGAAATGTAGTGGAGCTGTGCTCTTTGTCTATCCTTGTTTACCGTTGTCAACTGTAGATTTAAATTCTCGTTGATATGATTAATTGTCTCAAAACTGAGAAGAATTCTTTTCCGGAATTTGCGTCTTCGAAATTTGACTACACTTTTCAATTCTTGGATACTGATTTTGAACATATCAGTTTATACCCAGTTATTGTGCACTTGGAATTTATATTCCCTGGTGACATGTAATTTTACTTTTCCTTTCGGCGTGTTGCTTGTTCTAAAACTTTCGCACGAGCTAACCTTAAGCTAAGAAAGGACACTGCAAGATAGTTAGATAGCACGTAATTGCAAAATCAATGAGTATAACATCATGGTTTCGTATTTAACATTTTTCTCTGTACTTGATATTATCTCATATATAATAGGGGCTCCTGATAACAGTCATTTTGTATATATGCATGCGATTTTTTCCCCCTTCACATTTACAGTTTTCAGAACTTGGTTACATGTGTATAGCCAAAGACACACGCAAAGTGGCATTCACGTAACAATATTTCTGAGCTAACTTTTACTCAGAGCTGTAAAGCATAAAAAACGTTTTAAAGATATTGTGTAAAAGACAACATAGATAACGCCACAATTCTTATATTAAACTGACCTTAACATAGACACGAACCTGAATCAGCTGTGAATATTATTCCAGATATTTCTATAAAAGTTCCAGCTCTAGATAACGAGTTCCGAGGAACTCTTCAAACCATGAGTGATCAGTTACAGCTGTGTGACTGGGGACATTGTCATCTTGGAAAACTGTATCGTTGTTGTGAAATAACATCTGGATTATGGGGTGCGCCTGATTATCCAACTTCTCCACGTACTTCTTTGCAGTAATACGGCCGTGAAGGATAAGAATGGGACGAACAGAATGCCATGATATTGCTGTGCAAGCCATCACGGATCCTTCCCCTGTTTCACTGTTGGAACCGCGCATTCCGCACCTTCCGCACTGTAGGCATCAGTGGGTGCTCTTGAAACGTAAACTCTTCCGGATGTAGGGAACAGCGTGAAGGGCGACTTATCTGACCACATCACGCGCGCGTTTCCAGTTGTCTGATGTCCAGGTTTTATAGTCGTGACATCATCGTTTACGCATCTGAGCATTGCTGTCAGTCATCAGAGGTTTATTGATTACAGTCCTACCATGGACGCCGAAATTATGAAGCTCACATAGGACAGTATTTGTGGAAACAGGGTCTTCAAGAAGAGTATTCAGTTCTGCTGTCACCTGTGCTGCAGTGTTTCTGTGATTTCTCGAATCAGTCCTTTTCGATGCATGACGATCTCTTTCTATTAGCGTTGATTTTCGTCCACTTTTCCCCATCGCTGGTGTTGTCTTCCCATGATGCGTGTATGCAGACATAATCTCAGAAACTCTCACTCTCGATACATATAATAATATGGCAGTTTTTATCACAGATGCTCTAGCTAAACTTGCACAAACAATCTGTCCTCTTTCAAAATTGGACACATCTCCCATTTTCCGATTCTTTCACACGGACTGTCACTCAACACAATAACTAATGCACTTACATGAGCACTACAGAGTGTAAACTAAGGGAAGAAGAACATTCAGTGTTTTCAAAATGAAATTCTTTCGGTGTAGCGTATGCAAACAAATTCTATTCATCAGTTTCTTAGTGTTTCCATTATTTTGCCCACTCCCTGTATATATAGTAGAATTGAAAACTGCTGAGTTGGAAACAGTATGAAGCTTTGAAGCTAAATTTGAAACCATATGTCAAGTGTATAAATATGCCATTAGAAAGGTGGGACTGAAATTAAACGAGACATATCAGCTGTTGGCCTATGCTAATGATGTGAATCTACTGGGTGACAATGTAGATACCATAAAGAAAAACACACAAACTGTAATTGACGCAAGTAAAGAGGTTGGTCTAGA